GATCCGTCGCAAGGGGGTGGGAGGCGGCAAAGAAGGGGAGCGTGCCTTATTGATTGAGAAGCGCCCTCTGCCCGCCCTGGAGGCGCCCACCACCCCTCTACTACTGCACCGCCGCCACCGCGCGCCTCCGTCTGGCCCAGATATGCACGAAATTTAATAATCTCTCCCTCTCCCCCTTCCCCCGCCCCTCGATAAATATTCATCGGGTGCTATTTCGGAGCCCGTCCCGCCCCTGCGCCGTCACGCCAGCCCCGCCTCCGGGGGCTCTGCGGGGCGTTAAGGGGGGGGGGGAGTGTGCAGGAGCCAATGACGCCAGCGGATGCCGGCGGAGGCACACGGTGCAATTTTTTGCTTTCTCGCATACCGCCTGGTGTAGGGCTAAGCCGATTTGTTAGACAGAAAACCTTTTATTGAGACCGAAAAAGTTGATAACGGTAGTTAGTATATTTAATAAACAAATTAAGGGTGATCAGGAACTGTTTCAGACCACTAAGGAGGTGCCAGCAGCAGGAACACTTGGAAGATGATAATACACCAAGGATGCTGCAATAAACCTATAGAAGCGGGCCCTAAAGCCTAATTTCTGGTCAGTTCATGATATATAATTATTTACTGGTTCTAACACTGTATGTAGCGAGAATTCACTTTTGTTGAAGGCAATAATATAAAAAAATAGGTTTATCAGCAAATCGTCCGTCCGTCATAAACCCAGGAGAAAATCGTTTGATCGGTTCCAAAGTTGATTTTCTCTCTACGACTTGTCCGAACTAGGAGCCCTGTAATGAAATGGGAATATATTACAAATTCACTTGTTTAACCCAATATTGCATTCGCCGTTTGCAATGTTTGTAACATTACGTATATCCGTTGGTTTTCTTTAAGTTTCGTAAAAACAAAAATTTTAAGAAATTCGCCTTTTCCCCGTACCAATTCGGTACTTTATAAAAATGTATAAAATAGCGCTCGTATGTGCATTAAAAGTTTACGCTACAACCAATCAGCTTTCGCGAGTGCCTTGGAGAACAGCGCAACTGGTGACAAAACCACGAAGCTCCAACGTCAACAAACTCGGGTTAGGTTAGTTTCCTCGAATGAAGTTGGACCAACGGAGCGTCAAAATGACGGAAGGCGTTGGCTGAGAGTGGATCGAGAAGCGCTCTTCTAGATGAGTAAAAACTACTCACTTGCATTTTATCAAGGCCTCTTCACATAATAATCTTAATGTCGGACGGGACGCCGAAACAGTAAAGTTAGTGCTTTCCATTCCGCTCAGAGAGAGGGCCAGATCATGAAACATTTTACCGCGTACTACACACATTCATGAAACGTTTTGTGAAACAAATTTTGTAAGTTTTATCGTTTTATTAAAAATGTGATCGTGTACAGTTGATTTACCGGTTGCCTCCTCCCTATCTGTATGGCCCCGTCTCGCAAAGATGCTCCGCAGCACCTGTGTGAATTGCAGATTGCATTCAATCGGTTTGGAAGGAAAAGAAAGAAGAGAGAAAAAAAATACAAACACGTTCCTGAAGCACATTCGATACGTGTGTATCGCGTTGACCTGTTCAGAGATAAGAACGGTTCAATTGCGATAGTCCATGGGTGCTTCTGAGCGTCGTTTACTGGGAGATCGTAGTCCATGCGTAGCGGACCAGCTGGAGAGATTGGTCAACTTCAGTCGCCAGGTGGAAAATTCTAACGGATGGCTGCTCTAATCGGTAGTTATCCGTGGTTTGTCCGATCAACACAAGGCGAATGCTACAATAGTATCTTAACAAACGGGCAACGGCATGCAAACTTTCCGTCCTGATCCTTTCCTTTTACACACACACACACACACACACACACACACACACACACACATTCATTCATTCATTCATTCATTCATTCGCAGTTATACGTTCATGCACTACACTATACCATAGATCAGAAGCTGAGGACTCTAGCGTGGGTGTGGCGGTGCCATATGGGGAGACACTTGGAGAGGGGAAAGTCCACGCGCAAACGTGTAGGTCGGCACAAGATTCAAATTGCGGCAGGGAGGAACACTGCTACTTCTCACGGTACATCTGGCAGTACTTTCCGGATTAATTTCTGCGGCCTGGAAACAACATTCTCTCACTATTTCAATATTCTGTTCACTATAGTGTAGAAAATGTTAAAATATAGTGATCTGTGAAATGTTTGAGTCTTAGACATACGTTAATTTTTAATGTTCATGGTTGAAAGTACCAAAGTCCTTCAGAGTATGTGTCATCAGAATAAATGCGTTCTTGTAGGTACGTACTTCAGAATAATGATCGAATGCACGTGCAGAAGCATGTGCAATAGTGTCCGAAACGTGGTGCACTCCAAAACCCACGTGTACCGTATAACAGTTTTTATTAATATATCGCGAATGTCTACGACCCAACTGTAAAATTCTGTAGATACGAGTGCACTAGTCTCTATTACTCGAGTCTTTAGTGTTAAGTTTTCCATAAAAAATTAATTTATTCCAGAAAAGTCTGAGTCACAACGAGTCTTCTTGCTGCGCAAGAGAACGCCATGAGGTACAACCTGAGACAACGTCGGCCGACTATGTGATGTTCAGAAGACGACGTGATATTGCCACTCGTAAAAGAAGGAATGTACTTAAATGTCAATTGTTTTTTCTTTAAGTTGTAATTAACGTTCCCTCAGCAATTTATGTAATATTATGCCAGTACATTTCTCATTGAAATATGTATACTTTGAAATTTAAATGTTGTTTAGATTTGTCTTACAGTTAATCGTTTTCGATAATTTGAGTTTTCATTATATTTGTTTATATTCGAGCTAGGCCCGGTCCCGTCCGCCGCGAAATACCGAGAAACTACTGTAACTGCATTCAGTGAAATGTTTAAAGTCCCCGCGTGAACACTGCCGCGAGTTCCGTGTGTTCGTCGTCGCCGGGAGGAACTGTGTCGGCGACGGGGGCTTGGCGGGGGAGGGAAGGGGAGGGGGCAGATGGTAGGCGGCGCGGCGTGGCGGTGCAATGCGGGCGGCTGCGGCTGGGTCATGGGCTGCCGTCGCCGCCGCCGCGGGCGTCTGGCCTGCCTGCCTGCCTGCCTGGCTGCCGCGCCGCGCCGGCCGGGCGGTCGATGAGGTTAACGCCCCCGCCGCCGCCGCACGGTGCCCGCGAAGGGCCCAAACGCCGGCAGAGAACGCCCGCAGCGCCGCGGTTAAGACGAGGTGTGGCTGCTTTCTGAGTAATGTGGGAATCCGGGGGAGAAGTCGGGGAATTTGATTGCTGTGGAAAAGTGAGGGGAAAATCAGATATTGTAATTGATGTGGAAAAGCAAGGGGAAAATCAGGGAATGTCATTGCTGTGGAAGAGTGAGGGGGAAAATAGGGGAATGCAATTGCTGTGGAAAAGTGATGGGAAAATCAGGGAATGTAATTGCTGTCGAAAAGTGATGGGGGGGGGGGATCAGGGAATGTAATTGCTGTGAAGAACTGAGAGGAAAAATCAGGTAATTTGTAGAAGAATTGTTAAGTCAGGAATCATTTTCAGGGGGTTATAAAAGTAGATATTACTCATTAAAAACATTACGTTGTTTTTTGCTTCATTTGTGTTCTGGAAAATATTGTTAATTTGTGAATGCGTAATAAGAGCTGACCACTTAGTACCAGAATAGCTCTAATATTATCTTCAAGTATTAAATTATGACTCTTATGAAGAAAAGGTGCACTAGAAAACAGGGAAAGTCGGGGAAATATGTTCCAAAACATGAGTGGCCACCCTGTAAGAAACCTAAGAGGAATACGCGGCATGTCGAGAACTTTTCCTTTTCATTTTACTACCCAACAACTACTCATAACTTCTTAAACAAGTGCATCACCTCATTTAAAAATGTAAAAGTGAGGGATACATTGATATAAAAAATCTCTGGTTTTAAAATTGGAGGTAAAGAAGGATTTAAGAATCAATTAAACATTGAAATTTTCAAAATTTCGGACTTTTTAAAACATTCTGAACTATGCAATTTTTATTCATTCACTTTGTTATATACCGGCAAACAAATGAAACAAAAATTCAAAAACTTTCCAGAAAATTTTGCAATATTGAATAGGCTTCATGTTAAGTAACCCTCCTCCCAAATTAATCTCCGTAACGGTTCAGCTAGATCTTGCTCCCGATGAAGTTTCAACTCAGAAGCTTGTAATCTGAAAGAGTTATGCGTAACATTTCATCATTACGGACATCTCTATTTTCGAGCATAAAATTACTTGTATCTTCTCGCCCCCAGTAGCAATCTTAACCATCCTTGGGATAACACTGACACTTAATCCCGAGGAACTTCAACATGGGTGTTTAATGATCGAAAATTAGAGATTGTATTGTTGAGGTGATTCCAGTACTGCGGTACAGAGAGGAAAAAGTTAAAAATGTTTGCTGCAATAAGTGATGTCAGGTGTTTACTTATTCGAATTCACTGCGTAGAAAGAGAAGATGGTGTAATCCTGCAGGAAAAAGATGATTTTTCCTAAGGGACATGTTGCGCACTTAGCCGTACAGTGTATACTGTTGTGGGTTTGGAAAGACCGAACTGTAGTATTATCTAGTAAATCACGCTTTGTTTGTTTTTAACCTTTCCATATTTAAGCTAAAGTTGCTAAGACTTTGTTTCCGATGACACAAAGGAACACTGGCGGATCGGGTGGGGGGCCATGGCCCCCTCCAAAAGGCATAGTTTTCGTTTACCTTCCTTTTCTCAGGCAAAATTCATTTAAATATTTATTTATATTCGTATTATTTAATCAATATTGTATAGTATATGAACAGTACATTAACAATATACAAATATTTATTTACCAAAAAACCCCCATCAAAATGATTGGCTGGGTCCCTCTCCAAAGGAAAGGTGGGATTGCTAGAGAGTAGATACACGGAGGTCCATTATTTCCAGAAGCCCCCACATACTCATACGACACTATATGATCAAACGTTTTCGTACACGTGGTTGAAAATGACTTAACAGTTCGTGGCGCCCTCCATCGGTAATGCTGGAATTCAGTACGATGTTTGCCTACCCTTGTCCTTTAACAGCTTCCACTCTCGCAGACATACTTTCAATAAGGTGCTGGAAGGTTTCTTGGGGAACGGCAGCCCATTCTTCACGGAGTGATGCACTGAGGAGTGGTATCGATATCGGTAATGCCTGGCACGATGTCGGCGTTCCAAAACATTCGTAGTCGGTGTTCGATAGGATTCAAGTCAGAACTCTGAGCAGGAGAGTCTGTTACAGGAATGTTGTCGTCGTGTAACCACTCTGCCACAGACCGTGCAGTATGAACAGGTGCTCGATCGTGTTGAAAGACGCAATTGCCATCCTCGAATTGTTCTTCAACAGTGGGAAGGAAGTAGGTGTTTAAAACATCAAAGTAGGCCTGTGCCGTGATAGTGCCACACAAAACGGGGGGGTGCAAGCCACCTCCATGAAAAACACGACCACACCATAACACCAGCGGATACTTTTAATCACATAGTGTACATAAACTAATTCATTTGTTTATGCAACGTGAATAACTTCTTGCGGCTAATTTGAATTTGAAGTAATTTTAAAAAGTTTTGAATGAAAAATAAAATCGGGGGCTATGACCGGCTTGCGTGGCTCAGGGCATGAACTTGTGTCACTGCAGTACCTATGACCGGGAGATCTTGCGTCCTGACCATGGCAGGATTTTTGACACCAATGAGATGGCTGAGGTTGTGTTCAGACACTGGCTGGATGAGGTTGTGTTCAGACACTGGCTGGATGAGGTTGTGTTCAGACACTGGCTGGC